CCAGATAAGCATCACCTTACATCCTGGTTTTAGTCGCAGGTGATACTCAGCTGGGCAAGAAAAGTCCTTTGTATCACCCTTATCTGTGGCCTCATACCGGTGTTCATCTGTGACAATACTGTTGAGTCGTTCTCGATTAAAGACTTGGGATGGCACTCTCTTAAAAAATATGTGTATGGCTTCCTCTTTAAGGTCTTCTGGAAGTGGCCGCTCAAGACTTGTTACAAATTCTTCGGTCTTCTTAGTACACTTCCCTAATCTTAAGTCTCGCTGGCATTCTAAAAACTCCTGTTCTTCCTGGTTTTGTCTCATTAATTTTTTAAGTTCAAACCTGTGAGGCATGGCTGTCTTGAACACAGGAGACCGAAACATGAATTGTCCATCATCCATTAAGTTCGGAACAGGACTGAGCTGCGTGAATTCTCCTACCATGATCACTTGAATCCCTCCCAACGGTTTCGCCCCACAATTTTCCCTACCTTGGGTGATTTCTAGTTGTATGTGATTGACGATTTCCAAAATCCTCCTGCTAGACATTGAAACTTCGTCCCAGATTAAACAGTTTATGTTCTTGGCGTTTTCAGAAACTACACTGTTTGAAACTGACCTCTTAACCACTTGCTCCCAAGGCAGCTCGGCTGTTTTTAGTCCGTAGAACGAGTGGACAGTGGATGCATGCCCATCATATACGGTTCCTGCGATTCCACTTGAACAAATGATCGCCACGCGCTTTCCCGATCTCGTCAGCTCTTTATATATTTCTTTAACCAAAAACGATTTCCCCGTACCACCCTGGCCTGTTATAAAGACGTTATGTCCCTCTCGAACTATATTCAGCACCTGGCGCTGGTCCTCAGAAAGTCTATCAAACATAGGGCAAGGTTATAAGTGCAAAGGAAATAACAACGAAGGAGGATTTACAAAACTTGAAACGAGCTAAAGATATAAGCGAATTTTGGCTCTTACCGCGGCATTTGGACAGCAGGACCAAATTCAAAGACAGGTGTCACGATGGTTCACATATTTAACCGATAGAGCGTTCACTTGTATTGACAAGAAGTCGGCGTGTTACTGCCGCATTAATCGCTAATATGTTAATCGCGTTAGTTCTTTGTTTACTGGTGCACGTGCCTTTCACATTCGTCTCAGTTATCGCAATTCATATTCTGTGGCAATTTTCTGTATAATTTTTGACATTAGTTTGTAAGCTTCTCCGTTTATTTACGATAGTTTCGCACGAGAGTTCACAGCAACAGTATCTCAGTCATCATCTACCTTTTGTTCAACCTTGTTTTTAACCCGCCTAGCAAGTATTTCGCGTTGTTATTTCATTAGTTTCATTACTGTTTTTTGCATTCCTTAGTAAAAGAAATGGGGCGCCTTGTAACTCGGCAGATTCTCCTGATTATATTACTTTTTTTTAGCCATTTAAATTTAGGCGCGTGTGCGGGGTTTGCTCTGGCGAATTGTGATTGGCTAGGAAGAACAATTGCCTTCTGTCAAATAATTTTCCAGCAGGGGAGGGTGGCTTTGGACAAATGATGTATCGGTCCCTAGAAAGGTCACCCCAGGACTCCCGGGATGGAATTTTTTTGTACAGTGCCCAGGCCTCATTTTCTTGGCCGCGCGTTGATCTGGCCCGGCTGCTTCGGCGAGCGTATTCTCGGTGTGTTTGGATTATATTCTTCGAGTTTGTCAAAGTCTGTGGGATTCGTTTCTCTATCTGGGAAAGCTTCATTGGTTTCTATATCTGCTGCTATCCTATTTCTACGATCCTGGCATGTTTATTTTCCGTTGGAGTTCGAATTTCGTGGAAAAAGTTGTGTTGAATGAGAGCATGTCGGCGAAAATGGCACCTCGTGTTTCCTACCTTGTATATTATTATTGTAGATAGAGTGAATTTGAACAAATTACGGCAAATGATCACGAAACTTCGTTGGAGCAATAAGGACAACAACAATTAACTGCAGAGTAAGTTTTATTGATCTTTATTTAGTATTTCCTAGAAATTTTAGGATGATATTTTTACCCCATACAAACACTGTAATTTTACTGGAACCGTACTGTGGTACTATCACAGAGCCTGGGTTACCTGTGCTTGTGCATTCTCTTTAGGGAACTTTAGCATCAACTACGGCGACGACAGCGAAAACGTCACTTTTGAACTGACCTCGCGTTTTTTCGAACTTTCTCGCGTTTATTTCAATTCGGTCAAAATGTCAAATGTAGGCGAAATTTCTTGGAGATTCCATTCACGTTTAGAAAGAGAAAGAAAAATTCATCGTCGCTTGTTTGTGTCCTCCATAAAACGTGAGATTAGGCATTTTCACGTCGAATTCGTGCAGTGACGGCCACGAATTGTACAAAAAAGCGTGCTGCACGTGCAAAGTTGTTTTTTGGTTAATCAACCTGTTGTTTTTTTGCTGTTCGAGTGTTTCCACTCACGTGGTCAGCATCTATGCAAATTCATTGGAGCAAAAGAGAGTGTTTGCATAAGAAAAGAGTTCAACTCCCAAAGGATTAGTTTGGGACACCAACATGGCCACCGTTTCATTGTTTTGGGACACCAATATGGCCGCCGTGACGTCATGTGAACACTCTATAAGGACAATTGTACGATGACGTAAGTTTACTACAACAACGAAAATCCTTCAGTTTGTTCCCTTCTTATGCAAATGAGGCCTATTGTTTATAAAACCTCAGCGGGATTGAAAAATTTAAATAAGAAAACAAAAACGAAACGAATTCTGGTAGTTGTAGTCAAATGTCGTCATCGTGAAAATGGCGTAGTAGGGACCTTAAGATCAGACGACGGCGGCGGCAACGAGAACGTCATTTAAGCAATAGGTTTAATAATGAAAACAACACAAGAGTTAGGAAATTTTTCAGTGATTTTTAAGTAGCTTTTATATTTCTGTATTTTCTGAAACTATTATTTTATTGTGTTTCTATATATTTTTAGGTGATCTGTTTTTATATGGGGTCTAGGACTCCTTTACAGTTCATCCTTTGGTTTTTAATCCATAGATTGAAATAAATAAATAAATAAACACTGACTTTGCACGTGCATCACACTTTTTTTGTACCTTTCTTTGGTCTTTTTTGCACAACTACGACGTGAAAATGCCTAATTTCATGTTTTAAAGAGGACAAAAACAAGCAACGTACGACGAAATTTTCTTTCTCTTTTTTAACTTGGATAAGGCTCTTAGGAATTTAACTCCAGGAGAGTTCGCGTACATGAGTCGTACATTCGACAAAGAAAGCGAGATGGAGTAATCGCGATGAAGATTGAAAAACCGCGAATCCACTTTTTTAGCAACGTTTTACCTGCCGTCGCCGTCCTCACATCTCAAGGTCCCTATTGTCTCGCCCTGACCGCGTTGACCCGCCTGAGCGAACCAAAGTGTTTATATGGAGAAAAACTTGCCCAGATAGGAGGTTACCCTACCATCACAAAAGCGTAACCCGGCTAGGCAGGCCACTCTTCTAGCTAAGCCAAGTTTTTGTTTCATGTAAACGGTTCGCCCAGGGTAGCTCGAGTAGAAGGGTGATTCTTCTGCCCGGTACAACTTTTCTCCATATAGATGGCGCCTTACGGCCTGTTTACATGGAGGTGGGGAACCCCAGGTAGGTGAGGTAACTCGCTTTGGTAGGGTAACCCATCTGTCCATATAATTTCTCATGTTAATTTTATGACGTTTTCATGATAGGTGGGGTGACCCGCCACATGTTACCTCACCTATCTGGGGTCTCCCACCTTCATGTCAACAGGCCTTTAGAATGCTATTTGTGACTCGCTAAGACAGCTGGCATTCACGGGCGCTACATTTTATTCAGGTTCTTGGAATATTTGTTGTTTTTCACAGGGATGGCCTGTGGTGGAATGTCGAACTTTAAACTATATTTACTACGATATACTACCAGCAGAGGAAAAAGCTAGGGTGGACGAAGTTGAACCCTTTGATGAATTTGAGGTATTTTTATGTGAATTGCTCTCATCTTTGTAGGTTTACATAGTGGTGAGTTTATATAGTTTATAGGTGCTGTGAGTATGTATGTGAGCTGCAAGTATAATGAGTGTGTCACGGAAACATGCTTCATTTCACTAATCCCGAAGTTCTTGGCAAGCGGGATCAAGCATGATACTTTGCAGCCTTCTGGCATGAATTTGGGCTGCGCAGTCTCAAATCTCACAGTTTTTAACGGGGCTGCTTGTTTGAAGCGGCTTCTCGCCCCTCCCCCCTACCCCTCCCTTGGCGGCGATGATCACATCCCGCTGCATATCTCACCTTTACCTAAGCAGTCGCAGATTCTTCCCATAACCCCTCTAAGGACACCCACTTTATACGGACACCCGTATCTAACGGACAGTTTCGTTTGTCCCGACCAAAAGCTCGTATATTTTCCCTTAAATTAACCCGCTTAATACGGACAACGGACATTTTCCTGTGTCCCGAGTCATAAACTCCCATATATCGTCAACCCCGCTTTACAGACACTGTTTATCTAAGCACTGTCTATGACTGGATATTTTATCAGTGAATACCTTCAAAAACGGCGAATGATCTTTTTAATGTTTTCTCTGATACTCCCCCTACTTGGCTGAGTCACAAGCCAAAGCAATCAGCACAAAGTAAAGTCGTGCATTTCAATGCCGTGTTTCAAAAACAATACTTTAAAAAGGTAATTTTAGTTCCAGACTATGGAAATTGGCCGTCAGAGTCTTTTAAATGAACTTTTCACAGGTACAGTTAAGGAAGAAAACAACGTTTCCTCGTAAAAATGTCTCCCTTAGTCGTTATATCGATAAAATAAGTGTCTGTAATGTTTTTCCAGTTTTTCTGACAAATACGGACACTTTGCCAGGTCCCATCATTCATGTTCGTATTGTCCGGTTTCAACTTATTTTACCGTGATATGACAATACATGTTGAGTACGTTATGAGTACCCTCGCCTGACTACATCGTTTTTATATCTGTCGCAGGAGTGGCACCTTATGTGTTCTCATTACATTATTTTGGTGGCCTTCAAAGGATCCTGTCAGAGTGTCAAAGATGAACTATTTCGTCAGCAAACTGGTACTAAAATAATTTTCGTTAAAGTCCCTGGAACACAGTACAGCATTATTGGCCAAATTACACCCCCCTCCAAACTCCCGAAGGGGGGAGAACACTACTTCCATAAAAATGGCAGGGTGCTCTTTCAAATACAGTCGAATCCCCCTTAACGCGACCACCCAAAACGCGAAGATTTAGAGGTCGCTCATGGGAGGTGGTCGCTTACGTGAATTGAATCACATGGGCTCTCTCTTCCGGGAAGAGGTCCTTATACATATAAGTTTTGTTTTTCGTTTGCTCAGAGTTAGTGCAGTACATACAGCGAATTAAGAGATCAGACCATGTGTAAAGCGGTCGCTTACAAAGGATTAAAACAATGGAAAATTATCAAACTGTCACCCCCAAAAATTGTGGGGAAGATCACCTACAAAGTTTTACTAGAAGTGGTTGTCAGGAGCCCATGCTGGTGGTCGTTTATGAGAAGTTCCAACTACAGGGCTTTGATCGGGAAAATTTTGGTGTTTTGGATTTGTTGACGCTTATGGAAGGCGGCTGCTTACTAGAGGTGGTCGCAGATGGAGTTTCGACTGTATTTGTAAACCTTCGTAAAAGGTTTTCAAATATCTCTTTGTAGACTCGGCTCAAATTCTTTTTATTCCTTAAGAGGTACGAAAAAATCCCTATTTTTTTTACCATTATTTATTATTTATAAGTATTTTTTTTCTGTTACGGTCCCGAAAAGATACCGCAACACATATGATGGCGGTCATTCGCTGTTACAGTGATATTGGCATCCCCGCGTTTTAGGCACCCCCATTCCCAAAACCCTAGTTATATGGGCAGCGCATCCCCGTCACATGTTACCTTAGCGATTTGGGTTAGGGTTAGAGTTAGGATTACAGGAGCCTAGGGGATGCCCATATCACTAGGGTATTGGGGATGAGGATGCCTAAAACGCGGGGATACCCATATCACTGTGACATCACCACTTTAGAACCGAGAAGGAAACTGGCCCGAGTCAACTTTCGTAAAGATTTCTGGGACGGTTACTGAGGACAGAGTAAAAAAATTGGCCAATAGCTGACGCGTTCCCAGTAACGATCCCAGAAGTCTCAGTTTCCTTCCAACAAATTGTTGCCCATAAAAGGTAGGACCGAGTCAGCTCCCCCGTCATTTTTTTAGGGGATTACCCCACGGAATTACATCGTGTGTCTACTCCTGAAATGGTCTAGACACATTTAAAGTCGTTTGGCGTAAAAACGGGACGCATAAAAGTAGCTGACAACATGGAAAGAAAAAACCAGATTTTTTGAAAAATAACAAAACGCTGACTCTTCCATGTTATTTCTGGACGAGTTGGGCGTAAATGCGTCCCAGTTTATGACGTTTAACGTCTAAGACGTTAAAGTCGTCTGCTGATAGCGTCTGAACGACGTACTGAACGGATGACTTTCAAGTCGTCAGACGTTCAATGCGTCTGTCTTATTTACCGTTTTTATACTAGACGTCAAAGTCGTACTGAGTCGTTAAACATCTCTAGCATAAAAACGGCCATTGTGACATCAGCTGAGAATTTTCTTTGCTTGCAATGACAAAATGCATCCTTCCTGCTTCTTTTTGTAGCTTTCCCCTTAACGTATCGTTCTTTTCCTTTAAGTGTTCTTTGTAGTCTTCCTTCTTTCCAAATGTGAAAAAATAAAAGATATGAGTTGTAATTTGTACATATGAACGCATTTGATCATCCCCATGCAAATTTTCGAGGTATAAGTTTTAATCTATTGCAATTGTGGTATGTGCGGTGGTTGTATATGTTGTGGTTCAGTTTTATAGTCCTTGGTTTAAATTTTATTTTCTTTTGTTTTTGGTTATGGTAAGATATGATAATGAGTTTGAAACAAAAGAACACAACACTTAAACCAAGGATAAAATTGAACCACAACATATATAAACATGTGTATTTTAATACTGTATAAAATGTGTATATTTATGTAACAAAATTGTATTATGTACAGTCTGGCTTGCTACGATTAGTTTTTTTTATTTGTTAGCCTGTCTAACGCTAACTTGAAAAAGTAAAGTGTTAATAATGGTTAAAGGTTAGCCAATCAATTTTGGTATAAATTGTAATTCTTTGTTGTTGTTGTTGTTTTCTTTGTTGTTGTTGTTTTTTCTACAAAAGAATTGCCTGGACAGTCAAGTATTATTGAGGAGGAACAATGGAACTTTCGCCCTGTTGATGTTTCTCCATCTTGTGACGGTCTTAAAAGGTAATAGTTCATTTACTTTTCCATGTTTGTTTTATGCATGTAATTTTACGTAACAAATTTCAGGGGAGCACGAAAACATTTTCCAAGCTAGAGTGCCGGCTATTTAATAAATGTATTGTAACGGTAGCAACAGCAAACTTTAGTGGTAACAGTGAAACTTAAAGGGAAGGCACGCAGCGAGTTTAAATCGTTTAAGCGCAAGTAAAGTTACAGCTCGTATCTAGAATGGGGAAAGTACAACTGATTCAAATGTCGTAAATGGTAGCCACTGGCTAAGCGGAAGCGAAGCGTGACAAGATTTGTGGCGGCGGCTGCAATGCAAACGGGGAAAATTTTGCATTTGCTGCCATGCGCGGGAAAACCTATGGCAGCTGCAATACAAGCGCCGGAAGTCATGCAGCTGCTGCCATCCGCGCGAAAACCTGTGGCAGTTGCAATTTGAGGTTGCAATACAAGTGCGGGAAATTATGCAACTGCTGTCATAAGTAGGAAAACTGCGGCGGCTATAATACAAGTGCAGGAAGTCATGCAGCTGCTGCCATGCGCGGGAAAATCCGTGGCAGTTGCAATTTAAGGTTGCAATACAAGTGCGGGAAATTATGCAACTGCTGTCATAAGTGGGAAAATCTGCGGCAGCTGCAATACAAGCGCAGGAAGTCATGCAGCTGCTGCCATGCGCGGGAAAACCTGTGGCAGTTGCAATTTAGGGTTGCAATACAAGTGCGGGAAATTATGCAACTGCTGTCATAAGTGGGAAAACCTGCGGCGGCTGTAATACAAAGTATGCAAGCGCAGGAACTTATGCAACCACTTCCCTGCGCGGGAAAACCTTTGGTCGCTGCGTTACAATAAATTATGTAACTGCTGCCATAAGCGGGAAAACCTGCTGCGGCTGTAATACAAGGGAGAGAAATTGTGCAACTACTGCCATGCGCGGCAAAACCTCTGGTGGCTGCAATACAGGCGCGGGAATTTATGCTATGGAACTGCTGCCATGCGCGGAAAAACCTTTTGGCGGTGACAAGTTAAGGTTGCAAAACAAGTGCGGCGAATTATGCAAGTGCTGTCATGCGCGGGAAAACCTGCGGCGGCTACAATACAAGCGTGGTAAATTATGCAACTGCTGCCATGCGTGTCAAAGCCTGTGGTGGCTGAAGTACAAGTGCAGGAAATTATGCAACTGGTGCCATGCGCGGCAAAAACTGTGACGGTTGCAAACGCGGGAGTACCCAGCTGATGCTAAGCGCGGGAATACACGCAAACTGCCGATGCAAACATACGGTCTGTTTCAGGAGTGGGAAGCGCGCTCTTGCCTTGACATGTTCGCTCAGAACTGTTGGACCTTGGAGGGTGTGTCATGGACATTTGAAACCATTCTTTTAACGACAAGCTCAACCGTAATCTTTGAAAGTGTGACTGTGTCTACACTATGCCGGTTGGCTGTTAGTATGAACAGCAACGGCACAGAACTGCAACAAGTTGTTCACACACGACAGGGTCTGGTAAGCTAATTCCCATTCCTCGCTCCTGAATATTTACTTCCCCCTCAGTGGGTTCCATCATTCACCATTTTATTTTTGTTTTCTTTCTTTATTTTTTCTATCACTCTTCCTGTCGTGAGGATCAGTGTTAAAATTTGGCATTAAAGATTGTACTGATCCAAGTCTACTAAAGATCCAGCTGACTCTCACTGGTTTGTTGTTGTGATTTTTTCCTTTAGAAGTGCTTATGGGTTCCATCCAGCCCTCTTTCTTACCTGTCCAAGGTGTGGCACAGAACCTATCCGATATGAAAAGCGCCACTTTCGAGATCGGCGCGGCGCGGCGTAGCGCAGCTTCGCTCCGTTCCAGAAGTCGCGCCGAAATCACCGTTCTTATGTGTCAACTTCAATCTTTACACAATAAAGCTGCAAAAATAATTTTAGATTTGCCTATTGGATCATCTGCTAGTGAGGCCCTGAATAAACTGAACTGGAAAACTCTCGCATAACGTAGGGCCGAGCATAGGGCAACTTTTATTTATAAATGTTTAAATAACTTATTTTCACGTCGTTTTAATATTGAATTCAATAAGGATAAACATGATTATAATACTAGATGTAAAAACAATATCCGTAAGAGTGGTGCATCTAATAGGAACTGGGGCCATTGGACCTCGACAAACTTTACCTCAAACGATTGGAATAAATTGGACCTTTCAATCAGACAAAGCCCATCATTAGCTAGTTTTAAAAGAGTGTTAAGAAATGTAAATAGTTTTTAGTTTAATTTTTATATATTCATATATTAGTCTTTATTTTTCCTTTTTGTTCTTTTTTAATTTTTGAGGACTCTTTTGTAAATCACTTATCAGCGAAATTGATATCCTCAATAAAGATTATTATGATTATCATTATCATTATCATTATCATTATCATTATCATTATCATTATCATTATCATTATTATGATTATTATTATGATTGTCAACAGAAGCCCTCTCCCGTATGATTTTCGTGTAGGCGCAAAAGTATTGACCACTACAGAAAATACCATAACATACCATAATCCTCTTTGTTTGTCACCCCAAAAATTTACATAAGCATAGTCTTCAGTTTCTCTTGGGAGTTAAAGTGGCCCCAAGAGAAACTGAAAACAATGCTTATGCAAAATTTAGGGGTGACAAACAAAGAGCATTACGGTATGTTATGGTATTTTCTGGAGCGGTCAATAATGTGAACATAGCCTTAGGCGCCTCTCCTTTTGGTAACCAGGTTTGGTCACACAGCCACTCCCAAATCTGATGGTAGCATTGTACTTACTGGCGGATTTGGTCTTGAAAATGGGAAACACATGCGGCTTAATGGTGTCCATTTACTGCATACTGTTCAAGGTATTGTTTGCTGTAAAAATTGGCAGAAAAAGAAACGCCCAGTGATGGATATGCCTTAATAAAAATTCTCTAATTATCTTACAATCTTGTGTCGTAGGAGGGTGGCATTGTATAGAAGTGACAGCTGCCTCGGAAAATGACTTACTTGGTAAGAGAAAAGATAATGTAATAGTTCCTTGTTTTTAGCATGCGTTAAGCTACAGAATAGCTCAAAAATCAAAAATAGAAGTGTAGGATGCTTAAAAATCTTCCAGATGGTTAAAAAAAAAAGGAGAAAAAACTTGGCAGTCCAAAAAAAATTGGTCGATTCGTCGTCCTGTTTGTCGTCAGTGTCTTGTGAACCAGAGTTTAGCTCAAATAAACAAAAAACGCTTTTTTGTGTGCTTGAAGAATAAACCAAGGCTTATATGCTTAGTAAAGTTATTACCTTACTTGCGTAAAGAAACAAAAGTTCCTAATTTTGCGATACTTACTGCTTGGATACACAAGACGTTTAACGCATAAAATTTCTTTAACTTTATTAAACTGTCCCAACTGAACCTGATTATGATGGTGATGGTGATAGTGTTGATGATGATGATGATAGTGGGGATAACGTTGATGACTGTGGACTGTTTTGTAACCAACATTTACCTCTTAATTTCAGGTGGTCGAATCTTTCACACAGCAACAGCATTAAGCAGCAGTGACATTTTAATATACGGCGGTAGAACGTCGCCAGCAAAGCCTTGTGCACAAACTCTTCTTTTGTCACTAACAAATAATACTGAATCAATATCTTCAAATTATTCATGCGGCGCTTCCCAAAGCGGCCGTTCGGAGAGTGAGTATGAAGGCGATAACGATTTTCAAAGCTCTCTCATCCCAAATCCGTGTTACAAACAGACTGTTTTAAACTGCGGTGGAGATATTCCAGAACCAAGATGGCGTCATAGTGCTACCCATGTCTTCCTTCCTGATGGTATGCTAAATTTTTCTAGTCTTGACGCATTTAGTTTCTGTAAACCGTTAGTAGTGCTTTGCAAATAGAAAGATTAAGCATCGCGTTTACGTCATACGTCAAACGGCAAATAAGAAGTTTTCAAAATGAGAAACGAGCAGATAAAAGCAGCTTTAAACGATTCTTATGGATAGAATTAGCGTGAATCTACCGATTTTCGTGCAGTTATAATGAACAGTAAACGACAAGTAAAGTGGAAACTTGGTCAGGTGCTACAAATTCACGTTTGCCGTTTGCCGTAAACGCGATGCTTAATCTCTGTATTGTTGGCTGGGCGGGCATATTATCAGCAGGCCAGCAAGTGACTGAGTGAGCCTGGGATCAGTTCCTTCTCTCTGTTTGTACGCTTACGTCGCACCTTGACCCTTTGCCATCTCGGACAACTAAAAAGCGGCTTCTCTCAGTCATACAGTCCTGCGAGAAATGGTCATTTCATCCTTTTTCAGACCGGGAGGACATCAAAGCACTCGTCTGCATGCAGGCCATAAATTTGAATAAAAACTCTCCGAGTCTTCCCCGAAAAATAACCCTTCCATCCATTCAATGTGATAAGAGTCTATTTTCTCCTTAGAATATCACGGTTTGATTAAACATAGAAGTTTTTTAACTAAGGAAATGCTTGCCAAGTAGAAAATGCTTACCAAGTAGAAAAACTATAAAGTCTTTAAAAACCCTGGGAACTGTATAAAGAGTAATGCGATAAATGTTCGTGTTGTGATAAAATGTAGTATGTTTCTAATTCACACTTATTATTTCACACTGTTGTTTTGGTTCTCACAGGTAGCGAAAATTTGCTCGTGTTTGGCGGTCGCACTCCTTCTTGCCTCGCTCTTGGAGACTGTTATTTACTCAATCTTAAAACGCGAATGTGGAGAAAGGTAACCACTTCTAAGAAGTTGTTTTCTTCGTTCGGTGTTAGACACACCAAGCTTAAACTCCCAAGAAAGGTTCCTGCGCAAAAAGGGTATGGAAAATCGCGCTAGTTGTTTGTTGTGTACCATTTACAAAAAAGTTTCCCGAAAATCTGGTTGGAAAGTTAATGGAACACCAGAAAATTCCACCAGAAAATTTCCCGGAGCAACGGCACATCTGAAAAGGTAGTTTTGTTTTTTCCGAACCAAATGATCCAAACGGAAATTCGTGTTCCATTTCTTCAAAGTCATCTTTTATAACAGTTTGAGGCTTTCGCGGCCGTTTTTCGGTTAAAGGAACTGATTTTTGCAAATGAAAAACACGATTCCGGAATGAAATTTACCTGTCCTGAATTTTGCGTACCATTTGCTTAAACTGTGAACCGTCCGGTTTGCCCATGTAAATAGTAAACAACTATAATAAGTCGCTTCTTTCAGGAAGCACCATTTTTTAGTTACCAGGACAACAAATACAAGCCTGGGATTTCGTGAAAAGCGAATAGAATTTAGTGGACTGGCATCGACCTAAAGGCATGCTCATTTATTCAACTCTACTACAATTTATTGTTTATTATAAAACGCAAACTGTCAAAATTTAAGCACAATGCACTTGCACTTTTCGATGCGATCCGTTTTACATATACTCTGAGGTGTTTGTAGTTAATCTCTAGTTACCGTTGCTTTGCTCTGTCATTAATTATTGCTGTTTTTATAGTTGCTTCTCAGTGGAGACACTGCTTCACCGCGTCATTCCCACTCCGCATGCACGTGGAACAACGATGTAATACTATTGGGAGGCCTGGACGCTAGTCTTCACGCCCTCGCCACACTTCAAATCATAGACACTCAGGTATAATTTCCTGTTTCAGACGTTGTTCATTTTAATACAGACTCTACACCTGTTTGTGCAAATATGTAATACAGCAAACACAATTACAAATTTGCAGATAAGGAGAACGACAAGATAGGAAAAAACTAATGCAGTATAACAGGTGGAGAGCTATGTTCTTTTAAGAAAACCAGCGGGAGTGTATTATCAGGTTTAAAAACTCGAGGCGAAGCCGAGAGTTTTTACACCCGATAATAGACGAGTTTTTTTGAACGGCTTCAAAATCTCTGATAAAGATCAACCCATTCTTACTCTAATATTTAGATTTGGGGTTATGTTGGTCTAAAAAATCGACGTAAAGTTTAGCCGTGTCTTTATCAGATATAAAGACACTCATTAAACATTAATTTCTTTTGTTTTTTCTACATGAATTATTAATGACTTTTTGAAATACTTTTAACAACTGAGCACAATATTTACAGTTGAATCTCTCCACAACGGCTCCCTTGGGGACAGAAGAAAGTGGTTATTATAGAAAAATGGCCTTGGTGGTGGCGGTGTAATATGACACTCCCCGTCCCCCCTCCCTTTTTTTTCTTTTTTTTTTTTTCGGGTAAGGTGACTCTTCACTGCGAAATTCGCCGAACTTTGACATTTTCAGGGAACTGGAATAAGCACGACAAAGTTTGAAAAAACACAAATTCATTTTAAGGGTGACGTTTTTGCTGCGGTCGCCGCCGTCGATGCTAAAGCTCCCTTTTGGCAGTTGGGAACGCACTTTAGTGCCGTTACCGTTGCAAAGAGGTTTAAACAAGAGTCAGTGTATAGATTGTGCGCAAAAGTGGCCGTTCTAGAGAGGTGGCTCTTAGTGGTGTTGCGACTGTATTTCTAAATTAATACTGAGCAAAGTAAAACTTTTGGAGAGCAAATTTGAACTGGTTTCTAGGAGGTTTTTGTTGGATTATTTACCAACTTGTCCTGGGCATCAAGCCATCTCATCCTCACGCCTGATTACTAACAAAATGATATATGCTTTGCTTTCAGGTAAACCCCATGGCTCTACGGACACTTAACGTTCAGCCTGCTTTATTACCAAGGTATCGTCCCACGAAAACTTTAATTCGTAATTATTATGAATCTTGTTGCGGGCGACAAGAGGAGCCCGCAATACTAATATCCAGACCCACTTTGTTCAAACGCTGGTACTCATAATCTGATTACGCGTGGTTTGACCACCTATCACGTGAAACTTACGCAAAGCACAGCGTTCGGGCAAAAGTGTTTTGACCGATCGTTGTCGCCCGCACTCCGTAACCTTCGGTTATTTGTAGTAGCTTTGTAGTAGCTAGCACGCATGAATTTGTTTTTATAATTTCGTCAGAGCGAATCTAGCATAGTTTGCGATGAATCTGTACGTAGCTCTATGGTGAATTATCTGCAATAGTTAGATTGCTCGATCGGCTTTTTGGCGGCGTTATTAAAACAGTGAACACCCGCGAACAAGAACCTAGTGGATTAAGAACTTCCTGACAGAAGATTATTATGCACCTTTTTCCATTGTATTTTTTTTTTCAGATACTCTCACACAGCTCATGTTGTTAATGACCATCTTGTACTGGTGGGTGGAGTCTCCCCAAACTCTGCTCACACCCCTGGGGTAGTTCTTCTTAATCTCAAGTCTCTTACTTGGAAATCATTTTCCCTTCCGGTAAGTGCTTTTCTGTTATCACAATATTCTACTATTCTAGCTAAAGTCGTGCACGATTTCACAACGAGACTTAGGCCTGTTTACATGGAGGTGGGGGACCCCAGATAGGTGAGGTAACATGCGGCGGGTCACCCCACCTATTATGTAAACGTGATCAAATTAGAATGAGAGATTCTATGGACAGGCAGGTTACCCCACCTAAGCAGGTTACATCACCTACCTGGGGTCCCCCACCTCCATGTAAACAGGCCCTTAGATAGCTGGAGTCGGCACATACAATAACACAGGAAATAGGGTCTGGAACCGGGGGGTGGTCCTGATCCCGCTTTCCCGCTTTCCCGCTCCTTTTTCACTACAATCCCGCATCCCGAACTGCAGTCATCTCTATCCCGGATACAGGTAGTTTCTTGGGGTTATCGGACGTTTCGATACAAAGCTCTTACGATCCCAGTCATTTCGATACAAGTTTATTCATTCTAGGTGTACATAGTTCCACGTTCTTGGCTTAAAGAACGACGATATTCACCCAAAATTTCACTGCTTGAGTTTGTATCGAAACGACTTGTACCGAAACGACTTTGCATCGAAACGACCAGTAGTTTCTTGGTGTTGCGGAAGGATGCAATCACCAAATGACGTAATTCAATAGGTTGAAAAGACACTGAACAATGTACACACCATACCACCACACCATTTTCTTTCCCATAACCGCATCCCTTGCCGAGAATTTGGCTTCCTGTGGAGCGGTCAAAACCCATTTTCCGTCAACAAATTTTGCGTTTTGCCGAATCCTACACAATATTTAGGTCAATTCCTGGATCCCAGGAAAACACAGCTTAGCTACTAAACTGTGTCCCAGCCAAATGTCATTTGAAAACTACCAAAGTAGTATTTTTGTTTATTATTCTTTCTTTTAATTTTTGTCAAGACCTGTACAGCCCCTCAAAATCCCCTGATGCTTCACAATCACCAAAGTGTCATCTGGGAAGATTCGCAAGGTATTGTGGTACTCGGTGGAGGAGGAAACTGTTTTTCATTTGGAACTCATTTAAATGACTTTCCTGTTTTGATAGATCTTCCACTTCCTTGACAATTTAATCAATAAAATACAAGGCGTCCTGAGGTTATTTCCAGCCGTGGTTCTTAGAGCAAAGTACGAGTTGATTACAGTCGGGAGTCTATTCCTCCTCTAACATTCCATTATCGTTAAGTGACTGGTGCATCTGTGCCAATTACGAGAACATTTCCTTTGAGTAATCCCTTTAAATACCCACGAAACAAAACTAACGAAATCTTGACTTTACGATTCTGGAACTGGAAGGTGGTATCCATGTTCGAGACAATTTCTAAAACGCAGTATAATTATTTTGATGAACGTGCACTTCATAAAAAGAGGTATAATACTTCAAACCCGCAAAAGCCTCATAACTGAAGTACGGGGTAGAACAGGGGTTGCTTATCATTTACACAAACCACCCGGGTGGAAATCTTCTACATAAAAAGGGGTATAATACTTCAAACCTGCAAAAGCGTCAAAACTGAAGTACGGGGTAGAACCGGGGGGTGCTCAGCATTTACACAAACCACCCGGGTGGAAACCTTTTACATAAAAAGGGGTATAATGCTTCAAACCCGCAAAAGCCTCATAACTAGAGTACGGGGTAGAACCGGGGATAAAAAGGGGTATAATGCTTCAAACCCGCAAAAGCCTCATAACTGAAGTACGGGGTAGAACCGGGGGTGCTCACCATTTACACAAACCACCCGGGTGGAAATCTTGTGCATACAAAGGGGTATAATACTTCAAACCCGCAAAAGCCTCATAACTGAAGTAGGGGCTCGGAACAGGGGGTACTTCACCATTTACACAAACCACCCGGGTGGAAATCGTGTGCATAAAAGTAAAACTACAAAATTTGACGAGATGAGAGAACGAGCCGCTACAACGTATATCCAAGTCAGCTGAACAGACTGAAAAGCGTAAATAATTGCATCGCTGCAAATCACAGCCCATATTTTCTGAAGCTTCCAAAACGGAGTAGGCGAGCCATTTGATTTTCGAACCGAAATTTCTGATTTCCCCCTTGAAATGGTAAGTGTTCAAGGTTTTAACAATTGGCCCCTGTAATCTTTCCAAAATTGGGACCAAGTGACGGCAGAGGCCTGTGAGACACACGGCCAATCCCGAGCGACAGTATTTGCGTTTTGGCGGACGAACAACTTTTCATTTAAAATGGACCACTCTGCTAAGTAAAAAAAAAATATGTATTTACTTTAAATTAACACAAACTCAAAGTGCTTGTTACATTTTTTTATTCTGAAATTATTACAACTCGTATAACTTCTGAGTTTGTTATTTTAGAGGTACATAATCTCTTGAGTAAAACGCTACTTATGCCTTAGGATTAAAGGATAACTGCTGAAACTTTCCACGAAACTCCTCTTACTTGCGGTGACTCCCCAAAACTTGTATGTCATTAACTTTAACTTGTTCTAGATTCATACAAGGTCTACGTGTTTATTGCATTTAAGCGGCTTAATTTAGTTAGGAGACACGCTTTGCACATGATCAAAACCTGCACGACCAATTGCACTTCCAGTTCCCTTTGAGGTCGAAGTCGCAACCGCAGTCGCAATCACCGCCACACCAGCTTGGGCAGAAACCGGGGCAAGCCTTCCGCTTCTCTCGGCTAGCAACTGCTGGAGCTCCTAAAAAAAAGAAAACTATTAGTCAGGCAAAAAAAGCCTGCTTCGAGACGACTGACGGATTGTCAGAGAAGGGATGCACTGAACGTTGGAGAAAGGGAGGGATTAATAATACTGACACGGTTCCAGATATTGTCAAAGGGGTAAGTTTTTCCCCTTTTTAGGCGTTTAATACGTCCTGGTAGCAAACTGTCTGTTAGAAGTGCGATTAATTTTTCTCAAACATCAGGAAACCACTACGGTATATAAAGCGACTTTGTTCCTATTTAACGATAGCATGATTAGCTTACACACTAAGATTTCACTGGCCTGCAGAGGCGACCCTCGTGTTTTGCTGCCACCTTTGAGACGCATAAAATAGTGTCACTCTCTTCTTAGGTTTTTTTTTTCTGGCGGCACCCCAGCTCTAGAATGGCTTGGGTAAATTACATAGTGAACGAGTTAAAAGGGGCATCAAATGGTTGAGGGATGTCCACCCTCTCGATTGCACTTTCCCACTCTGTCGCCAATACTTCCTGCTTTCAAAATCAAAGATGGCGACTTGACCCAGGAAATACAGACTTAGAATGCGAGCAGGCTTAGATGTACGATTTCGAGGAAAGTTTTAGCGCGAGAGGAAAAGAACACAAGTGAGCCCACACGCAGGTTAATACTAACGGCACTCTCTCACCCGTAGGCTAGCCAAGCGCTGTCTAATCAGAATGGCACTTTTATTGCTTAATCTCGCCATCATTTACTTTTTGCGAAGTGCATACCCCCAAACTTCGTTCAATTCCTGTTCTAAATAATTGCTGTCCAGCGAATCAAATCATACCTTCACTTGGTAGGGCAACCATTGTCATAGCGACAGCCACAAGCAGCAGAATAACAAGACGATTCATGACGAGCTGAAGGGCAAGAATATTTTAGTTTTGTCTTTCAGTTACTAGACACTCTGATTGGTCAATTAAGGGGTTTCATGTTCTATCGTTTGGCCCACTAGATTGAAACCACCTTGTTACTATCCTCAGTGTCTGAATCTGTACTGTAAATTGGAAACGCGGTGCCATAAAGTTTTGGATCTACTTAAAAATTCAACGGAAGCTTTCATATCTTGTATCACTGGTAGGTGCATGAAACAAAGGCTCGGTGCAGACGAGAAACATCAAGTTACCCGAAATTTGTTACTAATTCGAACTCAGGCCCATTCAGAGTAGCTTTTTTAGATTTATATGCCTATACGAACTAGCACGCTCATTGCTATCTACTTCAAGGAACAAAGGGCGAAACTTACAACTTTTTTAAACCACTTACAACGCTATGATGCAGGTTTGAGCCTTTTCTGTGTTTTACCTTCGTGGTACTGCGAGTGTCGGATTTTAGTTAAACTCGATTGTCTGACTGAACGTCGGCGGCAACATGCGCACGGTTCTTTCCGTACTGAACTACATCCGTGTACAAACCCATTTTAACTTTTCTAGGTCGGAAACAGAATCACTTTTTTCAAAAGAAAGCAAAATTATTGATTAGATTCTGATCTTTTTGCTTCTCAACTGTAAAGAAGGAGCACAGTAGGAGGCACTGCCAACTGGGAAAATCTACTTTTGGCACGTTTCAGGGATAAGAAAGTGTGGGACTTTCACAAATTGTGGTTCATAAAATAACCAAAAAAGGGGCACTACTGTTAGAAGAATACAAATTTTTTGGCACATTTCCAGACATTTAGGGTGCATGGATCCCCCGTGTATGATTTTGCTACGGGTTGGGTCCATTCATGAAAGACCTCCTTTTGTTCACAAGCAAAGCAAATATTTTCGAAAAAAGTGGAAAGCGGTGTGGAAGAACTAAGGTTTTGAAAAAAGATTTTGGAAAATTATGCGTATTCTAAAAACATCTTACGGGCTACGCTACTGCACTATCTTGCTATATCCAGCCGGAAGTCCTAGCTGTCTAACAGCTGCAACTAGGAAAGGTAAAGTTAACAACCAAATAGATGTACTTACTATAATGCAGTTGAATAACTTCTCAGTTCTTCACACCAAAAGACTCTGAAGTCGAAATTGAAACAAGTTACTCGCTTGCAGTCAATTTTGTAACAAGCTTTTACTTCCTTGATATCGATTTACTACCGCGATACTTGTTTTTCTTTCTTACCTAAAATTAAACAACAAACCATGTTACGTGTTTCAGCAAAGCGTATGTTAGCATTATTTCCGCCGCCAGAACGAGGTGCGGAGCTGAAACCAGTTTTTTAATCCATCGGCACGGGAAAGTGCCAAGTCAAGTTTGCCTCGGTTTAACTTGAATTCAAAGATAGATTTAGGAAAGGTTTTGACTGAAAAAAGCCGAACTGAAAAGCATTCCGACTCCCATCTCACCTATAGGGCGCCGTTTGTGAAATATTATTTAGAACAAATTCATGCCTTTTTTCATTATTTGCAAATAACGATCAGCCATAGAAAATTTGTTTATAAATAAGGGACAACTAGTAACCGAATGATATGTAAATCGTCATTTCCTGTCAAACGTGATATATAGGTAATACCGATCTCCAGGTTAACTTCATTATCTTCCTCTTCATAAAAAAATGGACATGCCAGCATAACGGGAACTTCATTATTCATAAATGATAGATTTGCCAACATATAGGTTAACATCATTATTTATAAATAACGAATTTACTCTGCGAAGTCCGAGAAGCAAGTACAAATCGAAATCGATCGCCAAAAGTATTTCTTGATCGCTTAAACGGCAGCGAAAACAACTCACTTTTTTATAAGAACGTACAAATATTTTCACTGAATTTATTTCTCGAAGATATTAGCGCTTATGTGCAACTCTTCAATCCGAGTCGAAATATAGTCTACTACTACTACTACTACTACTACTACTACTACTACTACTACTACTACTACTACTACTACTACTCACCGCAGTACTTAAATTGATTTGCAAAATAACTTCCGCTTGTGCTATTGCAAAGTACAAGTCAACCCGCTCTTCATTTCACAACTATCACACATAAAAGAATCCGTTAGGAAGTTTCAGTTCAACACCAAATGCATCGGTTTTGGTCCAACTAACCTGAGGATGAAATTCGTTCTGAGAGAGGAAAAAAACAGAACCTATATGAATTTGCATGAGTTTTTTTATTCAACACAAGTTACGTCTAACCATGTGCCTTTTACTTTTGACATATTTTTTAAAGAAAAGACAAAGGTTGTCGATAAGAAACGCTTTTTGACTGCTTCTAAAATACGATTACCCAACC